GGGCCCTGCGATGATCAGTCTTACACTGGACGAACAACACTTTGCTGCGGTTAACGAGTACGTTTCTGTGCTTGCTGCAAGAATACGAGGTATTGGTCTGCCTTTTAGGCATTGATGACGAATGCTGTGAGCCAGAAAGAGCCCGGACAACAGTGATCCAACTGATTTTACGAGCTGCAAGTCGGATGCTTCGACAGATGCATCGGAGAAAGCAAATGGTCTAATTTCTGTTTACAAGACAGTTTGCAGTTGCAAACTATTATCTACTGATACGCTGCTCACATCTGCACACCAGTGGACAGCAGCATAAACTGGCGGAACACGGTCTTTTATTGCTCATAAGGATAGTAACTATATAAAATAACTTACTGGCTGATAATTTTACGGTGTCGGTGGATGAAAAATTCAAACAGGCCTTAGCTCAACGTCTGTGGAGTGGCATAAATCGGAAGAGTGATTTGCCGATGTCTACTCCACCACTTGATGTAATGCACTCAGGCTCATTGCCAACTTCGAATAGAATTAAAGCATATCAAGGGGGATTCCTTGTAAACAATTCCGAAAAACAAGCTAATGCAACCGGGTAACGTTAGAGTGCTTCACACAGTCCATGTAAGGCTTGGCCCTCCGAGCTCTGATCGGACCCGACTTAGACCACTAAAGGTGGCTTTCATGTAGTCAAGTGATTCTACAAAACTGCCAAGGAACTTTCACAAAGTAAAAGAAAATTCATACTGCCATACAACCTGATTAGACATAGAGCAAGCCGGAGATAAAACAAACGGTCAACATCCTACAAAACTGAGTAGCACCAAAAATAAGACCCTACAATCAATTTTTTGGGCAGTCAGCCATCACAAGTGAAATAAGGCAGTTATTTAGTGTGATTTACGCCAGTCTCTTTACCATCAAGAGTGAAATGAATAAATTAACCAATTTACCGAAATTATGTGACACTAATAGCCAACTTTTCCTGAAACGGTTTGGCTCGGAAATTGCAACTAGTCTTTCAGGTGTTTCCCCGTTCGCAGTTGTGGTACTCATGAAGGCATCTTGCCTTGCATTAGGACTGGATGATAAGTTACCGGGGTGTGTTTAGCCTCTGAGTTGCAAATGCTTTGCTGGAACGCTGAACTCTTAGCAATGTTGTGGAATGTAGGTAGCTCGGGTGCGTTGTTTGGTTGTTGGTCTGCTCACCGAGCTTGGCAGTTGGATTGCAAACGTCTCATCACCAATCGAGGTGGCATCGTCCGTGCATGGTTGAGTGGGTAAATTCTTCCTCTTCTGCGCTCGGGTGCTTTGGTTGTTGGTCTGCTCACCGAGCTTGGCAGTTGGATTGCAAACGTCTCATCACCAATCGAGGTGGCATCGTCCGTGCGTGCATGAGTGGGTAAATTCTTCCTCTTCTGCCTGTGATTATATAGCTTCCAAACAGTATCTGGTAGTTCTGGAAACGGTCGTCGTGTAGTTTGATTGGTCTACTGTAAATCTCACGTGGTCTCAATCTCTCTCGAACCGACCAGACACAGGAGATTGAGACCACGTGAGATTTACAGTAGACCAATCAAACTATACGACGACCGTTTCCA